ACACACACACACACACGTCTCTATCTTTGTGAGGTCTCTTCACTGACTTCTATGCATGATCAGAACCAGAACATCCCAACCTTAGACTTGAACAGTATCCTCACTCTGGGGACGCTACGTTACGCACACGTATCCTGTGAGTGTTTTCCAGCAGATGTTGAACCAGCTGCAGGGTTAGTGTTAGCATTAGTGAGATCCAACACTGATGTTGGGGGGGATCAGGTCTGGCTTTTGGTTCCAGTTCAACCCAAAAGGTGTTGGATGGGGTTGATGTCAGGACTTGTGTATATATCTTTAAACTTTGACTGCTGTTAGTTGTTAGTTTGATTAACTTTTATTAAAGAGGCCGATGTTCTTCCTCATCAAACTGAAAACCATTTCTTTGTGGAGCTGCAGTCCTTTCTCATCAGTTGTCGTGCTCCTCTTCATCTTATAGAGACGAACCAGCTTCAATGTCAGCCCTGAAACCGGATTGGCCCCCCCATTATCCTCCCGTCTTCCACTCCCCCTTCAAAGACTGTAGCGGACTTTTAAAACGTTTTAAAGCTCGTGTGTAAAATAACGCTCCAAAGTTAGACATGTTGGTGATGGAAAAACTGGCGTGGTTAATTTCCAAAGGGATCCCTTGACCTCTGACCTCTAGATATCTGAATAAAAATGGATTCTATGGAAAGGTCACTTCATGCTAATCCCAGAAGTTTGGGGAAAAAAACTTTTCCTTGTGGTATTTGATTTTTTCTGCATACTGGGCTCCATAAATAGTATTTGATTTGCATAAATTGTGATGACTGAGACACATACCCTCCCTCCACTTCCACCCCAGTCAAAAAAAAGTCATTTATGTAACGTTGTGTAACGTTTTCCTAAAACAAACTGTGTCACATCGTTAACCACATGTTAATAGGGTGTTTCTCACATAGACACTAACTGTGTGTCTGAGAACGGGTTAAACTGGCTTCAGTGACACGTTAAAACAGGCGTTCAGTAACAGTTGACACACAGCTGGAAGGATGCTGTTGCCAAAAACATAGAGAAGGGGCATCCACATACTTCTGGCCATATAGTGTGAACTGAAGAATCAAAACTGAGTATCTACTGAACACCATCATCATTTCACCAAAAAATAAAGTAATAGACCTTTTTGAGATGAGATAGTCGAGTAAACCCAGGAGTTAGCAGTGAGACTAACGAAGGCCTCATTCCATTCAGGTCGGACTCTGCTTCACTAAAGTAATGGCGGAAATGGATCCATTGTGTCTGTATCTGTTAATCATCCGTGGATTGAAGGAGAACCTGTCTTTCGTTCTTTCCAGCTTTATATCATCAGTGGACGTCACATCTATTTCAGCTCTTTTTGTTTGTTTTAGTTCAGTTTCCACTGTAGCAGAATGCAGAACAGCAGCTTGTAGTTTCCTAATGTCCTGAGCCGATTGTAAGGATCAGTATCAGGTATATATACATAATATACTTTACCTTTCACTCTACCTCACTGCTTTTGCATTGGAGTTTACGGATGTGACCAATCATTTTGATCAAAGCTCGCTGTAGAAACCCTTCAGGAAGCAGATTGTCATGTTTTGTCAGCGTTGCCGTCAACCTGTGACAAAGTGACAGAAGAGAGAAACCTGATGACAGAACAATAGTAAATGTGTCTGTTGTCCACTTTATAAAACCACAGAGTGATTCTCTCTAGATGGGTCTCAACCTGGGGATCAACCCTTTAATGACATTAAACACAGTTTCCAACCTTATTCCTTTAGGAACCTTTTTTTTTGTCATTTTCTAAACTAACAACACCACCGTTAGCTGTTCTGTCTGTGGCCAAAGCAACTGAGTTTCTCTGAGTTATTAGTAGTAGTAAGTATTTCAGTAATCCCTGAACAGTCTCTGGTTGCTGCATCTCGTCTTTGATGAAGGTCCTGTGTGGAGGCGGGGTAGTTTCAAACTGCAACTCGCTCACTTTCCCCTCATGTTCGAAAGGCGAGGGAGAAACAACGATGGCTTCGAAATGTGTGAACTATGGCTCTGTCTAGATTCAGTGTTTGGTTTGTCCATTCTGGGCTACTGTTGAAACATGGCAGACTCCACTAGAAGAGGATTAAACACTAATGAAAACATACCTATGAATATTATATTCCATTCCTAACTTTCATTAATGTCAGATCAATAACATAGAGCCGTAAATGTGGCTGTTTTCAATCGTAACCTTCAGTATTTGGATCAAGTGTATTTAAATATCAAACGTAAGCATCAGCTCGGACTCTGGATCAGTATTAGACGACTCTGCCTTTCCAACAACTACCTGACCTCGCTGACACACTATCATTAGAAACTTCTAGCTGTTGCTTATTTTGTGACCGTGCGGTTCATTTGCCTACCACGCTTCATGCAAATCAGGCACACAGGGAAATGACCAGCTTTCTTATATTCTATGTAAATGCATGATCCAAACTGGGACAAGACACAGACACTGTGTGCGTGAAACATTAACAATGAAATGAAAGAGAGGGTGAGGATGTCTCGAGCTGGGTCCAGATGTTTGCTGTAATAATTTAGAATTTGAATAAATATTGGATCATAAAGCGTGTGAAGACATCAGTGTGTGTCTCCGACAGTCCTCTGCAGTGTGTGTCTCCTTTCCTGGATGAGAGTTAACCAATTATGTGTTTGTTAATATTTGCATTTAAGGGCATTTTCCAATAAAGCATTTTATCACCGATATTATCTATCTGCTAAGTCGCTGTAAACATTTACATCAGAACCTCTGAAAGCACTTTCACCTCTAACCTTTGGGCAGCAGGAGGTAAACTTTATATTCAAACCTGTAAACAACGAATAGAAATCCGTCCTGGAAAGAACCATCCACATCAGACACTAATGTGAGTGATCTGGATGAACATAATTCTGTGTCTGTGTGTATTATCAGTGTAATAAATACATAAAGATATAACACAGACATGGATCTGATATGATTTGTATGATATTCAGATCTGGACTTCCATAAACTTAGATATGGATCTTTCCGGATAGAGTTCCTTTATGTCCAGTAATATCATCTGTAGTTAAAAAGCTTCTTTATTGTTTCACATTATTTGACAGATTCAGTGTTTTCTTCTCATTGTTCTATCAGCTCTTTGGTAGTTTACACTCTTCTAATGCAGGACAAGGCTGTTTACCGGAGACTGATGGCTCTTAAATAATAATATTAACTTTAATAATAATAATTTAATTTAGTTTTCTTCACATAAATTAGTGAAATATAAAGATATCAGCCTACTGTGTATATTTATAAAGTTTTCTTGGGACTGATTGTTTTCTATGTGCCACAGCAGCATCTTGTGGCCATTAGAGGAACTGCACTAAAACAAACTGACCCCCTCTGACTCTCTCTTCCTGTTTCCCCTCCAGAAGCTCCGCCTCCTGCGTGGTGATGATGAACCTCGCCCTATCAGACGGCAGCTTCTCCCTCACCCTCCCACTGCGACTGGCTTATTACTTCAGGAGTGGTGTCTGGGACTTTCCTGATTGGCTGTGCCGACTGTGTGTCTACGGCTTTTACGTCAACCTGTACACAAGGTAACACGCACACACACACACACACACACACACACACACACACACACAGTCCTGATTCACAGAAAAAATTAATTAAGAGCCGCTCTTCCTCCCTCAGCATCCTCTTCCTTACATTACTGAGCGTGCTCCGTTGGCTCGCCGTGGCCCGGCCCCTTCGTCACCGCTCTCTGGCCACGCCCACTCGGACATTATTGCTGTGTCTGGGAGTTTGGTTGTTTGTGGGCGTGTCCTCCGCCCCCTTCCTGTCCAATGGGGTGATAATCAGGTGAGTCTGAGCGAGTTTAGAGTTAACTTAAAATATAGCTATAGTTAACGTAATCTCCTTTTATAAATCTACCTTTTTAAATAACTTAATTTTAAAGCTTCTCTCCTTAAAAACCTTTTTATTTTTATTATTTATTTTTTATCTTCACACTTCCTACATTATATGGATATATGGATTAAATTATTTAACCCGTTAGTTTACATTTTAGTCTTCGGCTTTTTATCCTGATACAGCAGCTGAAGGACTGCGGCGTTCCTTTTAATCATCCGTCAGTTGTTTGGTTTCTTTCCTCCCGGGCAGCCTTCCTCTTCATTTCTATAAAAACGACCTGCTGCTGAGACAGAATCCATCACGTTAGCTGCTGTGAGTTAATTTCCATAGAAATGTATAAATGAACTGAACCAACGGCTGACTGGAAGGAAGGAAATCAGTCTCAAAGGTTTGGAGCTGCAGTGTTCTCGTTAAATCAGTCCTGAGAAAATTCAGGAGAAGACTCTCCAGCGGAGTAATCGAGCACATCACTGCTGAGTTTCTGTAAACACTGGAAACTGTTCAAAAGCTTCCTCTTGGTGGAAACATTTCTCAAAACATGACTGACAAACACAACAAACACAAGATCAGAATTAATTTTACTGACTGACATTTTAATCCTCAGGAGAGATAAAGGCTGATCTGCTTCATGTCTGGAGGCGGGGCGGGTTGGGATCAGACAGTGGTTGCATGTGTGTATTCACAGTTACTGTACATACAGAAACAAGATGGTGCTGTTTGGGATTAATAATTCCCACAGGATTAATATTTATAAAGCACCTTATTCACATTTTATTGTTTCAAACGCTTTACAGAATTTAAACAGAAATGGTGTCTCTGGAAGTTGTGAATCCACAGAGAAATCTCGCCATCTTTGCGGCTCTACAGAGCTTCTTTTTTTGTGATTTTTACCTCCATGGCTGCAAATGAGCCCAAAACATGCAGTTCCTTTAACGGCCACTAGAGGCTGGCTTCAGAGAATTTTTATAAAAAAATGTTTTTGCACCCCTTTCAATATATTAAGACTTAAAGTTATGCATAATTATGAGTGACAGGTTAAAGTGCCTGTTAAAATAATAATAAATTTAAAAAGATGTTCACTGTGACGAGTGAGCAAAGGAATCACAACATGTTTCTTTTGAGTTGAACATAGATTTAAGATTTTAATTGCTTATTTTTCTGCTCTCTCTCTCTCTCAGGGGGGGATTTCCTCGTTGCTTCGAGCCGTCTAGCCCCTCCTCTTGGGGACGTGTCCTGATCTTAAACTACGTGGCTCTGGCTCTCGGCTTCCTCTTCCCTTTCCTCACAATCATTGTGTGCTACAGCCGACTCGTCCGACGCCTAATGGCCCGCTCCGACCTCCACGGCAGCAGTGTGTCCGCCAACGCTCGTCGACGCAACAGACAGCGCTCTGTGCACCTGGTTACCATGGTGACGGCAACCTTCCTGCTCTGCTTTCTGCCCTATCACGTCATTCGCTCCCTGCACCTGCACGCTGTGTGCGGCGGCTGGAACTGCAGCATCACGGTGGCTCTGCAGCGGGCGGTGGTGGTGACGCTGTGTCTGGCGGCGTCCAACAGCGTGGTCAACCCGGTGCTGTATTACTACTCCACCAGGACATTCAGAAACAACATGAGGGACGCTCATTCCTCTCTGTTGTCCAGCAGGGGGGGGTCGTTCAGGTCGGGACTGGCTCTTGCGAGGAGAAGGAATACGACCTAACAGACAGAGTCAGCTCTGTAGCTGGGTCGGTTAAAAAAAGTCTTCTGCTTCATATTGATGAAGGACATCACATCAAAGATCTTTTAACTGGTTTGGCAACACTTTTATTTATTTCAATGAAGAAAATATTTATAGCGTTCTCCTGATAGGCCACATATAGAAGAAAAGAAATGAGACTGAAATCATAAGCAGCTTTGCAGACAGCCGCCATTGTTGAGGAGGGTTCAGGTTAGGGATAGACTCGAAGAAGTTGCTCACCTGCAAACAGTCCTATATTGATTTCCTGTTTTTTTTTAAACAAGGGGACAAGGGAGAGCCAAACTGTCAGCATGGCTGAAAGCTCGACTTGCCTCTTATCTCTGTGTGGAAATAGTAAAGAATAGATCTGTCTGTGATAGGTAGGTAAAGTCATTCCTGCATGTTATTTTTAAAAGGATGAAGTATATTTTCTTGATTGTTGTGATAACATTGTGTATCGCAATTATTTTGGCCAAGAAAATTGTTACATGAGATTTTCATATCATCCCATGCATAGTCGGGAACCCCACAAAGCTTCATGGGGGGTTGCAATGTTTTTCTGATGTCAGTGTCATTGTGGAGGGTCCTCCTTGTTGAGGAGAGTCCAGGCTTGTTGAGGAGGGTCCAGGTTGGTTGAGGAGAGTCCAGGCTTGTTGAAGAGGGTCCAGGTTGGTTGAGGAGAGTCCAGGCTTGTTGAGGAGGGTCCAGGTTGGTTGAGGAGGCTTGTTAAAGAGGGTCCAGGCTGGTTGAGGAGGCTGTTGAAGAGGGTCCAGGCTTGTTGAGGAGGGTCCAGGCTGGTTGAGGAGGCTTGTTGAAAAGGGTCCAGGCTTGTTGAGGATGGTCCAGGCTTGTTGAGGAGGCTTGTTGAGGAGGGTAAAGGCTTGTTGAGGAGGGTCCAGGCTTGTTGAGGGGGGTCCAGGCTTATTGAGGATGGTCCAGGCTTGTTGAGGAGGCTTGTTGAAAAGGGTACAGGCTTGTTGAGGAGGGTACAGGCTTGTTGAGGAGGGTCCAGGCTTGTTGAGGATGGTACAGGCTTGTTGAAAAGGGTACAGGCTTGTTGAGGAGGGTCCAGGCTTGTTGGTCAGTACGTCGTCTCAAAGTTGGACAAATGTCTGCAGTTTGTCTTCCTTTCCTGTTGAGTAACATCGCCCTCTGCAGGTTTTGCACTTGCAACCTTTCAGGTACAACTGACTGAAAGTACGCTGTTGGTGATTTTCTTTATTTTTCTTCATTTTCAGACTCAAACCAACAATGAATGTGTCTACGAACAAGTACTGTGTGTGTAGCACAGTGCCATAGAGCTCCATTGATCCAAAAACTATTACAAACACATCAATGGTTCTATTATATGTGTAATGTTGCCCTATTG